CTACAAAAAGATATGTTCAGAGACAGGCCATCCTCCCCTCCCTTCCACGCTGTTTCCATTCCCCTTTTCCTTCCAGTTTCTCCGCCCACGCTCTGTAGGTAATCAATCACATTCGTTTTTGGTTGATCCTGCCTATATATTTTTTGCACAAATGCACTAATACGTATGTATTTTCTTAGGTCCTTTTACTCTTCCATGAAAGGCAGCGTACCACAGATGCAAAGGTAATTCTGGTTGCTGGGTGGAAGGGGCTAGAGTGGCTGTAAAGAGAATACTCAGCTGCTACTCTGGTCCAGGAGCGGTGGTGGGACCAGAAAAGAAGAAAAAACTGTTTTGAGTAATGTTTGGGGGTGATAGTGCCGTGCTTTATAATTGTTTGCAGAGGGCAGTGTCATGGATGGTATTTTGATTTCTGGCTTTACTCATTGGGTGAGTGCCAGTCTTGCTCAACTGAGATACAGAACACGGCAAAAGGGTCAGATATGGGAGGGGCCCCACGTGGGTCTGTGTTTGGACATATTGAGCTTGAGGTGCAAATGATGTAGGCTGCTGAGGCATTCAGCACTGAGGGGAGGTCTCAATAGAAATTTCTAAAGCTGTGAATTCTGGCCTGGTCTTCCGCACACACAGGTCCGGACGTGCGAGAGCAGCAGCACAGAGAGCAGGACCCTCTGCTGAGTTCCAATGAGCCTGGAGCTCCCCACACCACCAAGCAGGTCTCAGCACCAGCTGGGTGTCTTACAATTCGACTCCGTTCTGACACTGTCTGCCTGGAGGTAGCGTCAGATCCTACAAGTGGAGGCCTCAGTCCCACAAAGTGGCCTCCCCCTCCCTTCAGATGCCAATTGCAAGTCAGGATTGTTACCTGTGCTCCTGGCCAACAGACTAAATCGGAGGTTCTCAGGACCCCCTCATTGGGTTTGATTCATTTGCAAGAACAACCCAAAGAATTCGGGAAACCGGTTTATTCACTGGATTACTGGTTTATTACAAAATATATTAAAGGAAACTAATGAACAGCCAGATGAAGAGATACACAGAGCGAGGTCTGGAACAAAGGAGCTCTGTTCCTGGGAGCTCGGGGTGGGAACTGTTCTGGTTCACCGACCTGGAAGCTCCCCGAACTCTGGGGTTTTCAGGGAGGCTTCATTACATCGGCGCGATGGATTCAATCACTGGCCATTGGCAATTAAACTCAATCTTCAGCCCCTCTGCTTCGCCCAGAAGTGGGGTGGGTGGGAGGGTGGGACTAAAAGTTCCCAGGTGGTCAGCCTCCATCCTCAGGCGACCTTGGGGTTTTTCACAAGTCACTCCTTGACATAACAAAACACACCTTTATCCACCTCCTCACAGGAAATTCCCAAGGTTTTAGGATCTCTGAGCCAGAAATGGAGATGAAGACCAAATATATATTTCATATTAAATTGAAATCACAATTTCAGTCTTGTGCAGAAGAAAAACAACAGACAAAAAACTTGGTCATCATCCAACCTCTTCTTGCAGGAGGCTGGCCTCAGGGCAGGGCAACCACCAGAGGCTGCACTTTTCCAGTGGTGGGTGAAGTTAGAGGCACGGGGTAGTCCCTGCCTCTCCAAGTGGAAGCAGGGTGGCCGAAGATTAAAGCTAGAATTGTACCAGATTTCAAAATGATAATGATGCCATATTTGACCTAACCCTCGCCCACTGTATGTTTTCAGTTTTTCCTCTCCCCTCCTCTCTCCCATCCATTCACCCATCCACCCATCTATCCATCCACTCACCCACCCATTTATCCATTCGTTTTTCTGACTATATTTATATCCACTTATAGGTATAATTCCTCTTCAGGTAGGAGGTTGGATTAGATAATCTAAACATTTCCTTTCAGCCCTTAGTTATAGGAGGTATCTTTCACCTTAGGTTATATCGTGATTCTTTTTGGCAGGGTGTTGGTCTTTCCAATTAAGTTGTTTGGTTTCATTGAAACATACATTTTTCAGTGAAGCTCACCTTGTCCTGAGCTTTGTCAGGATATCATTTTGACTCAGATTATTTTGAACTCGAAACACATGGCACGTGGTGAATAAGAACAACCATTCAGACAGGCAATGAGCAAGAGGGAAGGACGGCCTGGAATTAGAGCATCACCTGGTTTTTCTCACTCGTATGCTATGTCAATGATGACAATGATGGTGGTGATGGTGATGATGGAAGTGATGATGGCGATGGCAGTGATGATGATGAGTTCAGTAAATCATATGGCCCTTATAGCAGAAGGGATTTAGAGAGGTCATCCACTGTACCTTCTTGCCTCCTGTTAACTAATGCCTGATTCATTCCTGAAATATGCCTAACCCTATTTTTAAAAATGGCCCCAAGAATCTTGAAACCTTTTCTAGCTCCACCTCTTCCTGACTTTAGCCAGAGTTCTCTCCTGCTATATGTTTACCAGTATTCTTCCCCTTCATTTAAAAAACGATTGAAACAATAGATAAGTAAATGGTAAATAAATAATGAAACATAATTATTGGATAGCCTATAGTCCTTTGAACTACACAGTGAAAGAAAAATTAAAGGAAGCAAAGAGAATCAAGCTATCTGGTCATGGGCCGCAAGAGATTGATGAAAAAGGGGGAAGCCGAGTTTGAGGATAGACAAGCTGGAAATAAACGGTTCAGCCTTCATGGAAACACAAACACCATATTGATGCTGATCTCTTCCAATTCCAGGAATCACAGTGTGGCGGAAGCTGAGTCACCTGGAAGGTGTGCCATAGCCTCGTTGTTACTTTGGACTTCCATTTGCAGAAAGATCTCCCGATTCCTCAGCGCTGCATCGAGTGTGCTCTTGGCTTCCTACCCTTTCTACATTTGCTCCCTGTGAGGAGGAAGGAATAAGATCCAGAAGACAATACTATCACTTATGGAGTTTCTACACCGTGTCAAGCACTGAACTTTACACAGTTTATAGCACTTGTTCATCCCCACAGTTTTCAAAAGGATGGCATTATCCCCATGTTATAGACTGAGAACTTGAAGTCCCAGGGTTCCCTGATTGGTAAGGGATGGAGGTTGAACTGAGCCCAGATCTATATGCTCCATAGTCACTCCCATGAGGAAAAGGGCACGGGAGCATTTTACCTGAATTCCTTCTTGGATTCTGACTGAGATGAACATGAATTCTCTTGTCCATGCCCCTGGTCTCTACCTCCTCTCGTCTAAGAGCCTACAGCTTCATATTATGATAGTATGATCCTTTCCTTCCTACATGTATGAGCATGGATCAGAGGATGGAGTGGCTCATCTCACATACACATATTGTAGACCCTGAAATCTTCACCTCCAGCTCTAACTCATATCAAACAGCGCCTGTTCTCCAGCCTCCCATCTGCCCTTCCTTCCATGGAATAAACACCAAGTTTTGCACACCTGCCTACCCCCGGGTTACAGGGAGGCCTCTGTCAGACCATACTTCACACTGGGAAGAAAGGCATCTAAGACATGCCTGCACCCATCCCCTGACCTCTGTGCAGGACTGCACGTAGGCCTGCCCCACCGAGTCACAGGGCAGAACTCCCAGAGTAGCACCTGAGTAGTGATTCAGAGGAGCAGCTGCCAGTATATCTGAGGGCACAGACCCCGCGTGCCAGGCTGAGAGGCCTGTATTTGGCAGGTGGTTTGTTCCTAGCAGTAGCAAGACTGCAACAGGGTATAACAGAGATGCAAGGTCAAGTGGAAGTAGAGTTGTCACTTTGGTTTTTTAAATCAAATGACTGACTTTTATACACTTTCATCCAAAATCCTTCAAAAAGAGATAACAACAACCCTGAAGACACTCACCTCCCACCCAATCAGTTAAAGTTGAATGAAGAGCAATCCTATACGGATATAAGAGAGAGACATACATTCCACAGGTGGCTCTAAATCACCTTCAGGATGGCAGATGTCCTCATTGGGATCCCATTGTCCATCTTCAAAGTGAGGACAACTAGTCTATTTTTGAATCCCAAAGACCATCTATAGAGAGAAACATGCTCTTTGAAGAATGAGGACATGGGACACATGGCATCTTTCAATAACAAGGGAAGGAAGGCTCTCAAAAGAAGAGAATTGCGGAAGTGGGCATGCCACCAGGGTGAGGCTGCAGGGCTGGAAGGCAGGCTGTACGTAACTCTGGTCTGGAGAGAAATGACCTCTCTCAGGGAGTGGGGATTTCGCAGGAAACACTCCTGACCAACCTGTGTCGGTCAGCCTTGAGTTGGGGTCAGGGCCCCAGATTCTTACCAAGGCTTACTTTACAGCGAACCCTACGTTTCCCTATTTATCAGGGCAATTAACAAAAAGCAAAGTGATCGTTCCTCAGGTTGTGTCTTGAAATATACACATGAAGCAGATCAACCAAATACATCGTGTCCACTCACTCAGTCCTCCGGGAGGGGGCCTTCTCCCTTTTGGGGAGTCTGTAATAAGACTTGGCTTGACCAACTGAGGGAGTTCCTGTGGGCTGTGACAGACCAAGTCCTCAGCCAGGGCCAGGAGTAAGGCACCAGGCGTTGGGGTGTGTGTGAGAGAGAGTACACAGAAACCATCACACCCACACCCCGCATACCACAACAGGGTGGAGCGGGCCACTTGTCCTTACCTTAACCTTCTCATCATGTTCAGAAATGCTGAGCTTTGCCTGTGCTGGGCCCCTAAGGATGCAGCCCCAAAATGCTCAGCCAACCTAAAGGGTACCTTTCCAATAAGAGCTTCCTTCCTGGATCTGCCCCTCACATCTGGGGACCCTGGACTCCAACCAGGTCACAGCCACGGGTCCCATTTATTTCCTAAGGGGAAGTAGGAGTCATGTCTCGCCACGTCTGATTCCCAAGCCTGTATTCACAAGCTCACACCACCCACTCTGATTACCTTCTTTTGGCATTTTCTCAAATTGCATAACGTGGTCAGGAAATTCGGGGTTAATAATGACTTACTCTACTGTTGCTTCCCAAAGATGAAATAAAAAGCCACAACACTAAATATGACACGGACAGCATTTAATCTCTGATATTTCAGAAGACACTTTAGGATGTGAAGGTCCCATGGGGTGCTGTGTGGATGCCTACAAGTACTGCGTGAGGGGAGGCAGCATGCAGCCTGGACTGGGATCAGGAGCCCAGCTCTGGCCCTGGCTCGGCTACTAAGTGGCATTGACTGTGGATGGGTCACTTCCCTTCTCCAACAGGGTTGGGTTTCAGCATCTCTGAGGCTCCTCCCAGCTCTGATATTCTATGCATAACTGGCAGAGAATGTGTCGTGTTGATTTTCCGTAGGTACTGAGGAAGGTAAAACTACTTACAATAGCGTGGGCAAGGCCCGAGACAGTTCTACTGTAAGTACCGAGCCTCTGGGCTCGGGTTCCCATCTCAGTGTTGGCCCAGCCTGGGGCCAGTCATGAGCAGACTGAGATAGGAGCAGAAATCACAGAATCAGGGACCACCGCATAGTTTTTTAGTGAATTTATCAAGTCCACAGTCAAGGACCCTCCCCAGCAGAGGTGTGCGCTTTGGCCACGTATCCCGCCTTCTCAGACCAACAAGAGCTCTGCTGCTCTCAATCAATCAAGAGTCTTCAGTTGCAGGAACATGTCCTGTCCTCGGGACGGGGGATGGTGAGAAGGTAGCCGCTGAAGAGATGACAGACCAACTCCTCTTGGCTCCTGTCCAGCAGGCCAGAACTGAGAGAGGGATCGAGCAAAGTAGGAGCCCGTCTCCATCTATCGCAGGAATTCTGGCAGACCCGCATTTCAGGTGATGCTGCACGTGTGGCACTGGCACATCCAATGGTCTCCTTTGACTTTCTTTTTTTAAATCAGGCTTGGCCACCCCTCTCCACTCAGTTAGGCCGAACTCTACCCAATGTACAAAAATCTCCAACATGAGCAGAATTCTCAATGACTCCTTGTGTCTTATAAATAGTTTCAGTGATATATACAGCCTAACACACACACTCTCTCTCTCTCTCTCTCTCTCTCTCTCTCTCTCTCTCTCTCTGGAAATCATATTCAGGATGATCACAGGTACTCATTGGCACAACCACCCTGAATCTGAGCGTAGGCTTGGACTCCAATCTCTCCCTCCTCTTCACTTCGGAGAGCAGAGCATTGGAGAGAAGCCTGACCCTGCCCAGCCCCTGAGCAGTGAGGTGGACAGGGCTCCTAGGTGGAGCCCTGAGTGTCGTCTTGTATGACAGGAGGCAGGGACGAGGTTGTGCGGGCAGTGCTGGTGGCCAGGGCCTACTTTACTCCTTCCACAGTCCCAGCTTCTTCAGAGCCTCCCTTCTGTGCTCATCAGGGATGCCTTTGGGGGAAATCTTGACACTGACACAAGTGGGACGAGGCAGCTTGTCGCGGCTCTGTCCTTGGTAAGACAGGCGCTTGGAGCTCTGCTCGTGGTCAGCCAGCATGCTCACCTGAATCCCCGCAAAGTCCTTCCCAGTGCCCAAGGAGGCGGGGCGGGGCCGGGAATTACGCAAGACACTGGGTGAGAGTTTGTTCAAGAAGGAGTCTTTTCCCAGAGAGCTGCTGGCCTTGGAGCTGGGGTCTTTCTCAGCTGAGAGGTAGCTGCTCAGCCCCACACCTGACCGCTCCAGCGTGTTGGACTTGAAGTTCATCTGCCTCAGCCCAGGGATGCTGCTCTCCTGCAGCGTCAGGGGATTACTTACCCCTGGGGCCCTAGGGATGAGGATTGGCATAGACTTGGCAGCTGGAACTTTCCCTGGAGTGGGTTCCTGGGCAGGAATGAAAACCTTGCCTGGAGTAGATCCCTGAGCCAGAGCTGGAGCCAGGGCTTTCATTGGAGAAGGTCCCCGGGTTGGAGCAGGAGCCAGTGCCTTCCCCGCTGAGACCTGAGGTGCAGGCTGAGCTAGGGCGGGAGCTGATGCTGGGGCTGGGGCAGGGGCCTGAGCGCCAGTCCCCTTGAGTCTGATGGAGCTGGGGGGCTTACTTAAGTGGGGGCTGGGCTTCTCTTGGTCCAGGGGCAGCCCCAGCTTCTCCAGAGCCTCCTTGCGTGCTTTCCTCTGCTCCTGCAGTGAAGAGGAGACCAGGCCGGAATCGCAGGGGGCAGCCTCGGGGTGGCGGGACAGCCAGGGCTGGGGGTCGCTGTGGAAACTGCTTCGGCTGCTCTTGAGAACAATATTAGGGGGCAGCTTCCGGGGCTTAGGCCCTGTGAGGGGAGCCACTTGGGCATCTGGATCCCGCCCTGGTGGGACGGAAGCATCTGTAGCCCTGGCGTTCTGAGACGACATGGCAGGAAGAGGCCGAGGCTGTCCTGGTGCCCCCGTCGAGCCTTTCTCATTGGCTTTTTGGGACATGGCCTCTGAAGAAGTCTCCTTTCTCTTCTGGGGGCTGAGTGACGTGAGGAGCTGGGGCGCGGGGGTCCTCTCCCCTGGCCCTGTGGGCGAGCTGTCTTCCCCACGCTGCTCGGGCTGGGCGTCCCGGAAAGCCTCTGGTGGGGGGATGAGCGCTATGTCCAAATCAAGGACGGCCTCCTGGAGCCCGGCCGGAGCCTGGCTGGGCTCCCTGCCCTGGCTGAGCTGCTCTTCCCTGGGGTCTGGGATGACCCTCTGGACTGGAACCTGGCTGGGCTCCCTGCTCTGGCTGAGCTGCTCTTCCTTAGGGTCTGGGAGGACCCTCTGCACTGGAGCCTGGCTGGGCTCCCTGCCCTGGCTGAGCTGCTCTTCCCTGGGGTCTGGGATGACCCTGTTGGGTTCCCCTGGCAGGTGGCTGTTCGTCTGGGGGGTGCTTTTCCTGAGGTTCTGGTTCCTACTGATGTGGATATTGCGGGGGAGGCTGTAGGAGCCGGATCTGAAGCCCAGGCCTTGGGGTTCAGGCAGAGGGGGGACGCTGGACTGGGTTGCTCTCCTTGGCTCTGGTCTTTGCTGAGCAACCGTCTCCTCTGGATGTCCTGTGAGGGGCCGGGAGAACAGGCAAAGAGAGGACAGAGGTGAGAACCCTGCTGCCAAGGGAAAAGCAAATATTCCCTGAACTCTGGTCTCTAATTTGCATGGATGGGTTTTGTTGTTATTGGTTCTTTGCTCTTAAAGGGGCAGCACTCTTGCCTGGATATCATTTAGATGAGCAGGTTGATACTAGCAGATTCCCTTCCATCAGGGATTAATTTTTCACAACAACTGGGGAAAAGGCAGCCCACGATGGCTCCCTGTCCTGAAAGCAGGCTCTTTCTAACCGTCTACAGAAGCACCAGTGGTGGGAGAGACCCAGGACTGTCCCCTAGGTATCTTGGGGCTCCCCGGTAAGTGATCCAATGGAAACATTGAACTCGAGCAGCATGAACAGGTGATTTGCCCTTGTTGGGGTCCACCTTCTTCCTTCACTTCCCATACTGGTAAGTACCCGGATGATTCTGGGTAATGGCCAAAGCTGTCCCCACACCAGAGAGCGACCTGGGCCCTTTCCTTCCGGTGAGCTAGTCAGGTGCACCGGGCCCACTGGGCCAGGGAGTGAGTCTGAGGTGGCAGTGAAGCCCCGTGTTCCCATGTACGGCTCGAGCTTCAGGGACGTTCTAACACATTATCAATAAATAGTTGCTAAATCAATGAATGAATGATTGCAGCCTTGATTCCAGCGGGACTCTCCTCAGGAGGAAAGTGCCCACCTACCCTGGGACATATGGCCCCACACTCACATGCCATCCTGTCCCCCTTCTACTGGGCCTCAACACCACTGGCTCTGCACACACTCTCCCCAGGGCCTTAAGGTGCCACCCACTCAGGCTGAGGGGGCCCCTCCCTCTTCTTATCTCCTGCAGCCTCAGCCTCTGGGTCATCCAGATTAGCTCCCCACACTGACTCAGACTCTACAGAGCCACCCACCCCTCCCTCACCTCTGTGGTTCTATCTATTTAGAATTCCTCCATGAGTGGGTGGCAGCTGGTCAAACCCTCTTCCTCCCAGGCCTCTGACACAGGTAGAAAGGCTTAGGAAGCTGGCTGGTCAGCACACCCTCCTTCCCTCCAGGGTCAAAGCTTTATTCTGGCCAGGAGAGTGGAAGGGAGTGTGGTCACTCCTTCTGCTGCCTGTGACCCTTAAAGCCAAGAGCCATCAAAGTAGAAGGACGTTCAGATCTCCTGCGTTTCGCCAAAGGTGCCCAGACAGTCTCTCTTACCCTGGGGAGCAGGCTGGAGTAGGGGCAGTGCTCGGGGACTTTGGGGAGTTGTGTCTTGCTCAGACTCCTCAGTGGACAGTCCGCTGTCAGCCTCGGTGTCCAATGAGCCAATGGTCTCCTCCAGGAAGAGCAAACACTCCTTCTCTTCAGCGGACAGGAAGTCGTAGCTGTCGGTCTGGAGTGAGGACAGGAGGAAGGAGAGGAGAAGGCAGCTATGAGAGAAAGCTCGGCAGAAACTGGCGGGGCCGAGAACCACCCTGCGTTGGGGAAGGAATGCTGAAGAGCTGGAAACCTTTCCACGGTGCTACTCTGCAAACCTGCTGGAGCTGCTTCCTGAAACTGTAGGCACCAGGGAGGGCAGAGACTGGCGGGCTGCTGTCCCACCAGCACCTGGGTCAGGCGGCTGGGCAGGCAAATGGCAAGAGGCCTTTCTTTTGCTCAGTCCTGGGTGACATGCTTGGGAGCACAGATCAGAAGCAGTCCCAGGTTCTCATTCCGATTTCTCTGCAATTATTTGTTGTTTCTTTGCTCAAATATGCCCAATATTTCACTTTTTGTGTCTCCAATTTAGCTCTAACTTATACAAGCAACATAAAGATTTGACCTTCCACTTGAAAGGTATTGCTTTCAACTTTTCTAAGTACTTCTGCATACTTGACCTGGCATGTCAAGGACAGGATGAGGACAAACAGGAAAATCGGCCAACTGCTGGCTGCCAGGCCAATGGGAACAGTGGTATGACTAGCCACAGATACATCTACTAAATAATTTATACTTGACTCTGAAATGCATTCCATACAGGATTTTTTTCCCATGCGTATTTACCTTCTTGATAGTATTTGGCTCTGCTAACATTCAAATGAGTGTGCATTTCTTAAGCAAATAGTAACTTAAGGGGGGAGGGTGAAGAAATTGGATGAGTATAGGGGGAGGGGGGAGAAAGCTATTTGGTATTAAATATTAGGTAGATATTAAGTAACTGATTTGAATTATGAGAAAGCCCATAGGAATATCTAGAAAAAAATGCTATGGTCATTTCCGATGGTTACTGACCAATGTTCTACAGGCCAGGAAGACCCATGGAACAGTCACTCTCCAAACAAGAGGTTGAAGGGAAAACTAAAAGGGCAAATAGGAATATATGAAATTTGGCCCAAGTCTGTTCCTGGTATCTTTGTCCCTCTTCCTAATATTTGAGATGCTTCAGAGTTATATATTCTCCAGACCCACTCAGATGGCCAGGAAAGATTTTGGGATAGCCCTACAAACATCCTGGGAGGAGGGAAGGGAGCTGTTGGAATAACCATTCCAGTCCCAGACTCCTTAAAGTGCCATCTGTCAGCTGACCGAGTGACAACTGACAGATGGCATTTACATTTCAAGGGAAGCCCTAAACATAGCCCTTGGAAGCCCTGAAGCCAACTCCGGACAAAGATAAGCCAGCTCTGGGTTTACCCTTTGTGGATGTTTCTTTCTGAAAACCTTACATCCCAGTCATACTCTGCGTCCAGTGGTATGTAACTATGCTCCATTTTTACATATCGAAACTCATTGACTGTATATCCTCACCTGAGGATATGTTTTCACCAGTTTAAGAGAGAGAGAAAGAGAGGGAGAGAGAGAGAGAGAAATATCGCCAGGTTGCCTTCCATATGTGCCCTGACCAGGGATCGAACCACAACCTAGGTATGTGCCCTGACCAGGAATAGAACCTGCCACCTTTTGTTGTAGCTCCAACCAACTTAGCCACACCGACCAGGGCTCACTGACTATATTAAACATCCTCGTACATGTCGGTGTACAGTCGACACCCTTATAATCCTTACATTTTCAAATACCTCTAAAGCCATAAACTATAAATAACTATAAATTCTCAGGTGTTATTATGTATGTGATGAATTTCCACAGGAAAGGCAAGCTTACATTTCACATAGGGCAGGTTTACTCTTTCACACTAGCCATACAACAATTAAGATTTAAATTCATGCCCAGAAAAATTATAATTTATTATGTGCCATTCACAAATCATTAAACATAGTGACTTCGGAAGAGTCTCAATCTCTGCTCATACATAGATTAATTCTTTTCTACATAGAGAAATGTGCTAAGTGCTATATATACATTTCATTCACCTCCCTGCAAGAACGCTATGAATTCAGTTTTAATATTATCCCCATTGTAAAACTAAGGAGACTGAAGCTTAGAGAAATGAAGTCATTTGCCCAAGGTCATACAGCTCATACTACGGAACCCAGATCTGTTCGGCTCCAGAACCCAGGCACTTAATTACTCTGGTCTCTTTGATCTTTTTAAAGACTGAAATAAAGCTGCTAATTGCAGAGAACCAACCTCAGGAACCCATGTGCTACCAGCGTCTGTATCCTAGTTTCCACCACGACCTCAGATCACCGGCCTGCTCCCTCATCTCCACTCAGACCCCCAACCTAATGAAAACTAGAAAAAGTCTCACTTGTCCAACTGCGCTCTGGGGTTGTCCCACCCTATAGAACCATGGGTGACTCAGAGGCAGAAAGCATCAACTCGGATGATTCACTCCCTGACAAGGAAGATGAAAGAGAAGGAGCAGTGAGCCAGGTTGGTGGTGGGCAGGGCGGGGCGGGGCAGGGCAGGTGTGCAGACAGCGGGCCAGGTTGCAGGACAGAGAGTACATACAGATCCGGAGCGGGTGGAGGTGGTGCTCGTCATGCTGTCCCAGCTGCCGATGCGGGTCACAGGTTCCGAGCCAGGCCCCTCTGGCCACAGCTCCCTCTCGGGCATTGCCAGAAGCAAGGTGCAGGGACGGCGAAAGGGGCTCCCAGAGGGGAAGCGGAGAGAAGCGAAGAATGTCCCAAGCTGGGCCTGAAAAGAAAAGAATCAAAGCCATGTGTGAGCCAAGCCTGGGCTCTGGCAAGGCTCTGCCCAGGCAGGCCCTGGAGCAGCATGGCAGCAGGGACATCAAGCAAGCAAAGTGTTGGAAGGGGCCGTGGACAGCCATTACCCAAACCCAACCCCCCCAGCCTGCAGGGAAGGACACACAAGCTGGCTCACATACATGCAGAAGGACGGACTTAGGTGGTGGAGGAGCATGTAGTCAGAAAGGAAATGCCATCATCTCCTTTAGTCACCTTTCTCTCTGAACTAGGGGGCTTACCCTCCATCCTCATTACTATAAACAATAAATATTATAGGGGTTAATAGCTTGGATTCTGGAGGTCGTTGGATCTGGGTTTAAATCACAGGTTAGCCATTTACAGTTATGTGACTTGAAGCAAATGACTCTTTCAGTTTATTTTTCCTCATGGAACAGGGTTAATGTAAGGACTAAATGAGAACAGTTAGCATCATTTAGCTGGTAGTCAATATTAAGCAATGAATAACTAACTACTACTGTTCTTATAATAAGAAAAAGACAAAATCCGCTTGGGATCAAAGTAAATTGAAGGAAGGGAAACAAGAGTTTAGAGAAGACGGGTTCAGGGAGACTATAGGCTTGAAAGAAGGAACAGGGCCTTAATAGTACCTACATCATAGGGTTGTCTTAAAGATACAACAAAATAGTCCACGTAAAACACTTGCACAGTGCACGGCCCGATTGTTAGCTGCTATTATAGTCAACAGCACCATCATCACAGCAGCCACCAGCAAGCCACCACTGTCTCCCTAGCCTTGGACACACATGCATAGCACCTACAGTGGTTGGCACAAACCCAATTTTCCTCGTGTGCATCACCCCCTCTATGGTTGAACTGATTCCAAGGAGGTTTCCTAACCCAGGTCAAATAAACAAGAAAAATGTCCCAGATAGCGTCCTCCCAACTCCAACTCCTAGGGAAAAACGTTTCAAGTTCACTGTGCCAATAGTAACAGCAAAGGAAGGCCATCCACCTTCTGAAAACCACAAGGACTTTCACATGCCTGTGTGTGGGAAACACTCCAGCAGAATTGGGAGGGCCAGGGTGACGCTCCTTTGTGAACATGAAATTCTAAAAAAATATATAAAGATTAAAAGACAGTCTAAACAGAAAGTTGAGGGAGAGGTAGAATACAAAATATAGAATAGAGTCTGATTCTGAATCCATATTTCCCCCATGACACCATACTTTGTCTTCTACCACCTTTCCTACCCTTCCAATACTAGGTAAAATGCCCTAGAAAAAAAATGTGTTCTATTTGAGATCTCGGGACTTGGGGTTTGGATTTCAGGGCTCGTTGTTCCTTCACCAATCACTGCTCCCAATGCCTAAGCCAGGTTTAGGCTGTGCTGGGTGTGTCAGCCTGCCAGCTCCAAGGCGCTGACAAGCACAAGGCCTCAGAGAGCTCCCCTCCTGCTCGGGAGAAAGCCCTCAGGTGGAGCAGGGAGGGAGGAGAAGGACAATGGGGAACGAAGAGGGAAGATCCCTAATGACACAGGTAGTTGATGGTGGCCCAGCGCCTCTCAGGAGATAGAGAGGGAACAAGAAGGAACAGAAATGCCAAAGATGCCCAATGACAAGTCATCATTGGGTAAGGCAGGTCTTAGAGTTCCTTCATGAGGTTAGTTGCCCAATATCTAGAACCCCAAAGACACAGAAACATGAGAAGTCATGTGAATGAAGTCCAGTCACCTCCTACATCCACTCCATTGATGACTAGGTTCAGATAGTACTAACTCATCCTTGACATTCTATGAGATTGATGCCATTACAGAAAAGGGGAACCATCTCTCATAAGACGGGCTCAAGGAATGCTAGATGAATGAATTTGACGTCCATTTAGTGTCTGTTGAGTTGAACTATGGGAAGACCTCTTTTTCTGGCTTCTACCCTATTACTGTAAGCGCAATGGAATCTGGTCAGTGCTTTCAGTTAAACTAACAGGCCTGGAGCATGCGCTGTTTCTGAGAAGTGAGTGGAGAACCATGGGTCTAGTTTTTGCCTTCATTTCTCTTCTCTGAAAAATCGGGGCAGTAAATAGTCAAAGTGGCTCACTGTCATGAATATAATATTCTCCGTGAATGGGTGAGAGGGTGCTCCCTCTTCCTTTCAGAGAAAATGACTACCCGGGTTCTTCTAAGCACCCTTCAGTGTTTATAGTGGTTTCCTAGCCTGTCCTTCCTCCTAGGGTGCCTGTCACACTCTCACTTCAGAACCAGGGTGGCCTGAAGCAGCTGGAAGAGATGGAAACAATTTGAATAGCACTACTTCAAAAAAAAGAAATAGCTTACAAAGTACTTTAAATATGCTAATGAGATATTCAAAATAGCCTGATCACTTAGGCAGGGTGTGGCCCACTTCCCCTCCCTCTAACTGTACATCCAGGACAGCCGGTGGCCCCTGCCCTTCCAGAGGGCATCTCAGACCGTCCAGATGCAAGAGGGCCATGCACCTAAAGAAGGTCATTGGCCACCCCTGGCTGAGCACAGAAGCCCTACAGTCACCCTTCTTCTAACTCACACCTTGAACCCTGTACATTACCTTCTCCAGCTTCATGCTCCAAGGCCAGGTTTGGCCCCAACAACAGCCATCTCCATACTAAAGACATTACACCAAGTGCCATTGAAGATCATATCATCAGACGCTACATAACCACTGCAGGGACAAATCCCAACCTGAAACCAAAGTTCAGTGAGTCCTGAAGTGCTCCAACCTCGGCTCCACACCTTGCTTTCTGACGCAGCGTCTGACCCGTGAAAAGGTCTCTCCCCACTCCCACTTCCCCTCCCACCCTCCCTCACCAGTTTGGCCTGATCTGGATGCGGCTGCATTTCCTTCCACCAACTTTACAACCTTGAAACTTGGGGACTATTTCAGGGCAATCATTGAAACCTGAGATATTTCAACCTGATAAAAAGCCCGAGTACAAGCACTCAGGTGAGAGTTTGGTATCTTTGAACCCTTGACCTCTGGAGGACTTGAGGGGAGGAGGGAATGGGTTAAGAAATGTGTATAGTTAGGGCTGGCCATGCACAGGCACATTAAATATTAACCACTCCACTAAAGGCAGCCAAGCCTTGGAGGAGAGTAAATAAATAGCGTGTGGGATTCTGGCATCTGCAGGGGTGGGGTGGGCAGGAGGCTTCAGCCCCATTTCAGTTTTCTCTGTACCTTCTTAATAGACTCCTCCCCTGAGCCACCCCCACATCCTCCCAGGGCTCGGTCTCCCTCCCCAGTAGTCAAGGAGGTCGCCTACTTCCTTCAGACTAGGTGTCTCTGCTTTTCTACCCAGAAATGCATCCCAGGTTGGACAAGATCCCAAGGAAACCACCAGGACGACTTCCATTGTACTGTGGGTGCATCCTCTCCGAGCACGTGGGGAAGTTTCTGCGTGCTTTATGGAAACGCTCTAAACCCCCTCTTCACCCCTGGGTCTGAGGGAAGGGGTTGGTATACATATTCTCTGCACAAAAGAGCTTTGTTAGAAAGCCAATACAAGGGTTGGCAAAAGTAGGTTTACAGTTGTTCATTGGCAAAAACAAGAATAAACTCTGTTTCCCGTAGTCACAACTGTTCACCTACTTTTGCCCACCCCTGTATATCTGTACATTCACTCAGCTTGTGTCTCAGACCCCAGGTCTTCCTGCTTCCCTCTTTCCTGCAGCAGGAGAAAGGAGACATAGGGCAAAGTTACAGGCCAGAGTGCCCCCCATCCCCAGAGGTGGATAATGGAGAGCTGACTTACTATTCTGACTTGACTTCTGCATCCAACTTCCTTGTGCAAGTAAACCTGTCAAACAAGCTGCTAACTGGGAACCCTGATGAAAGCACACCCGGGGCTGGTTCTCTCTGTGGACACGATCACACTCCTGTGACCTGAGCCCCACTCGGAACTCCTACCAGAGTCATCATGCAACCACGAAAGAGTCATAAAAATGTGGGTGAGGCCCCAGCACAGCCAAGTAGCTTTCGGTTTGCCAGTCTCCATGTCTATTCACAGGTCAAGTCAGAAAATTAATTGAGTTGAACCCAAATAAAGGGGGACTCTGCGACTGGCTTGTCCATGAGGTTTCCAGAGATGAGCTGGTAGCCTGAGCTGGAGTTTTTCCAATGTAACCAAACCTCGCCTCCCCTCACAAACAAGCCAGCGGAGCTCATGCCTTACACACCTGTCCACAGAAAGCTCCATTATCACATTGCCAGTATTACACACACACACACACATACACACACACTGCACCCTTTACTTAAATAAAGATAGTGGGTGAGTTGATAAAGCCATGGGAGAGTTTCCAGTGGAAATGCAATGGAAAAAACTACTCCCATTTCCTGGGCCTTCCTGCATTTTGACTTCTCTACTCCAACGATTCTCGTCCAAAGTCACAAGTCAATTGGAATTGCTCAGAGATGGAAATTTCCAAAACAAACCTATTTCCCCCCCTTGTACGCTTATCCAACCTAAATAAGCAGGTGGAAAGAAAAAAAAAAACATTCCAGCCCTGGTCTCCACAAAAGCACTTCAATCCAACCTTCTCGCATCCCCGACTGGCCTCTGGGAGTTGAGGAACAGAGAGGAAAGCCCGCTAGCTGGGGTGTATAGGGCTCCCCACAACCCTCTAGCTCTGAGTTCCCACACAGCCCCCTACCCCCTCACACACACACACCTTGCTACAGTATAAGCAACAGTTGGTTAGCGATGAACTCACCTTTACTGGGTCGGGGGCTGAAGAGAGGAAAGAGATACCCTTATATTTCAAAGGGCGGAGACGCGGACAGAGCCGGCTTCCCCTGCCTCCTGCTGTTTTCTTCTTTTGACCTCTTCCTGACTTACCTGGACAGGTAAATGCTTCATCTGTGCTGGTTCGCCCCACCCTGCCTGACTCTCAGCCAATCCCAGCATTCTCTCCCTCCTTCTCATTCCAGCTGTTTCTCCAGGGAAGGTGTGGGAGGGGAATGGGCAGGGCGGTGTTGCTCTCACTTAGCCAATCATCTCTTGCCATTCCTTCCCCTATTAAGAGCCAATAAAGGGCCCTTTTAAAAAAAACGGAGGGCTGGAAGGAAGAGGGACTGGTTTGGGCTGAGAATGGAAAAGGAGAGTTGGCAGTGAGGGAGTAGGCAAAAAAATAAAATAAAATAAAATAAAATAAATTGTTTTTTAAATTACGTCTTCATATAAAGAAACAGTCCACTGGGCAGTCTGCTCTTTTACGCATCGGTCTGAAACTTGGTTTTCTATCTAGAGCTGCCTTCTTCCACTTGGAACGAAGTTTTCCCCAGAATTCTCCAAATTAAAATCCCCTGTGGCCAATTTCGTTCATGACTTTTCCAATCTTTCGGAATCACTTTCATCCTCAAGCCTTTGCCTAGCAGCCCATAGTGTTTCAAAGTCCACTCCTGACCGTGAGGGAGATGCTTAAGACTAGGGATGCCTAGGACTAGGGATGACACACCCTTGCCCCCCCCCCCGCCCCCCCACACCCGCCCCCCAGATTGCCAAGGGCCTTCTTGGCCTCATTTCTTTCTGCGGGAAACGAAACAATTTTCTCTCCGGAGAGTTCCCTGCTACAAAAGTGCCTGGACAGCCTCAATGGAGAGAACATGCTTGTTGTCGTTGGGTCTCTGGTCTCTTAGCTGTTCATGGAAGGTAGCAATAACCATTCATAAATAAAAACAAAATAAGTTACCCACCAGGTTAGCAACTCCTGAATCCTCCCATGGCGGATTTTTGGCACGTGTAGGTAACCAGGAGAAGCAGGGAGAAGAGAGTAGGTGGAAGAATCCGGTACTTTCAGGAAGAAATCTCCCTCCAAGTATGGAAGCTACTTTTACCACTTGTGATTTTTGCCTGGATGCTGATCTTTCCCGGACATAGGTTTTCCTCAGTGTCAAAAGGGCGGGAAGGAAAATTAAAATCAATGCCCATAATAACTGCCAACATTTATTAAGCTGTTGCTGGGCATTAGGTATTGTGCTGTGCTCTGCATTTTCATCCACCCTTTCATTTCATCTTCATTTCAACTTCAAAAGGTAGATGCTGTTAATACCCAAACCTTACAGGGAGGTTAAATAACTTGTCCAAGATCATGTAGCTAGAAGGTGGCAGAGCAGAGATTTCAATGTAGGCGCCATGACAGCAAGCTTGCCACATGCCAGTATGATGCCAGTCAGCCTCGACTTAGGAGAAAATCGTAAGTAGGAAGCATGAAATACTCGGGTAATTTGCAGGTCTAATTCTAGCCATTAGGTTCATCCTTTCCCATCTCATTTCTGTCTTGTCACTATTCAGATCTTTCATCACAAGATGACACATGGCTTTCATCTTTTCTCTTTCTATGATCATAATTGGGTAGGAAATGAGAAGTGCAGTGATCCTGGAGCCAAGGTAGAGAGACGAGGTGGGGCAGGACTAGTGAGGAGGAAGGAGGTAGAGGAACCCCGGAGAAAACCAGTACCCTGTCAGCAGGATATGGATGGCTGAGCTGATTGAGCATTTAAGGGCAATGACCTCTCTTCATGATGTGTAATCCAAACATGTATGATGTCACAATACTAACGAAAGAGGAAGGGCACCTCCTACTGAGGAGTTCAATGTAACTAGAGTTACACCCATGGGTGAAGTCACTGAAGTTGATCCAGCTTCATAGGTGTGTAATTCGAACATTTGCTAAAAAGTAAAAATAAAAAATGAATTGACTTGTGAGCATTAACCTCACAGTGATAGCAGGCATAGTCTTGTTTGTGAATTGACAGTTTTTCAGTTTATAATAAAGTCGAAATAGTTAAGAAGAGCGCCTGTCTTTTACCAGGTAGACGCAGGGACATAGACAACATGATCTTTCTGTTCCTCTTTCCTTTTAGGCATCTTTTTGAAAAGTATGAAATATTCCAGCTAATTGAAATGTACCTAACGCCCAGTTCAAGAACTGGAACAGGAACCTTACAGTTGAAGTTACTTACAAGCATCACCCCTCCCTCCTCTCCTGCCTCCTCAACACACACATACACCCAGGCTGAAATAAATCACCATCATGCATGTCATGTTTTTTTATTCTCTATGTCTTTAAATGTTTTACCCTGGAATCTTGTTTTTTCTCTGCTCTCTTGGAAAAATACCAAGTCTCTAAGGTTCCAAGAGAATTGGGAAGGAGGCCTGGGACTAGGGGAAAGAGAGGGCTTCAAAACCCAGACATTCTAGTGTCTGAGAGACTAAGGCTCCCTGATTGATGCAGGTCATCTTTGGAGGAGTGTGGCGTGTGTGTCATTGCTCTTTGTGTATGAATTCCTGTTTGATGACTTGACTCCATGAAATCTAATTACAGTCCAGCTCACCTGACTCATCTGTGTCCTCACTCCTCCATCCTGGCATGCTGTTGTGGGGCAGTCATCTTCTTGACCGTCGGAGACTAGTTTACTATTTCCTTCTGAGTACAGCCTCCCAGCGAGGCATCTCACTTACTCACTCAAGTACACTTCTACACACACACACACACACCCCTTCAAAACTGAAATATACCACAGAGAGTCATTGGGTAATCTTTCCTCTTTAGACAACTTATATTGGCAAACTCTCTGCAAAATAGTCATGGGCCTCCATTCTAACCATTCATGATACTTGTTTACTCACATTATAGTCACACTAGAGGCCCAATTCACGCAAGAATGGGCCTTCCTTCCCCTGGCTGCTGGCACTGCCTTTGCTCAGGCCCAGAACTGCCTTTCCACCTTCCCACACTGCCCAGAGGCCCGGAGCAGCTGGGGCGTTGCAGAACGCCTGGGTCGTCGCCATGGTCCCGCCCCCGGCTGCTTGGCGCCTGCATATGCAAATTAACCTGTCATCTTTGTTGGGTTAATTTGCTTACTCACTCCTGATTGGCTGGTGGGCATTGCAAAGGTATGGTCAATTTGCATCTTTATCTTTTATTAGAGTAGCTTCTATCAGTGTCTTTCTTCTCCTTTTCCTTGCTAAAGAAAAAAGGAAGTTACTTTGAACATGTATATCATCATCCCTAAGAAATGCTGGGTGCCCACAATGTTCATGGTATTGGGCAGGCTACAATGTGCTGAGTATATTTCTGAGCATATTTCTAACATATTGAGGGGAGGAAAGGTTTTATTCCTTATAGCAAGAGCTTGCTTTAGCCCAGCCAGTCTGGCTCAGTGGTTGAGCATCAACCTATAAACCAGGAGGTCACGGCTTGAGTCCTGGTCAGGGCACATGCCCAGGTTGTGGGCTGGATTCCCAGTAGGGGGTGTGCAGGAGGCAGCTGATCAATGATTCTCTCTCATCATTGATATTTCTACCTCTCTCTCCTTCTCCCTTCCTCTCTGAAATCAATAAAAGTATTAAAAAGGGCTTTCTTTAAAGAGAAAACAGCTAGGGAAGGATTTGGATAAAGGTGATCAGAATTTGGAATTGATAGGCCAGATTAAGATGAATTAGATCACTAAATTCTCACCAAAGTGATATCAGTGTTAATCCTAATATAATTAGATAGAAAGTGAAGGGTGTTATTAACTGGATTTGGATGAAGGAGTTCTGACATTGCTTAACCATTAAGTAGTTCCTGGGAGCAGCTTTCTTTCTTCTTTCTTTTTTGAGAGCAGAGTTACTTTGGCCCACCTATCACGGACATTTAGAGGATTCAGTGGTTCTTTTCCTCCGAGTGCTAATGAAAGTTTGAGGGCTGAGGTCATCTATTAGCACCAGAGAGTTTTGTAAGAAACACCAAATTTTAAGTTGTTCAAAACTGAACTCATCTGACCCCTGCCCCTCCAACCTGCCCTCCCGCCTCTATCTGCATGCCAGCTAACAGCATCACCATACCTAATCTCACCCAGACTCAACACCTCCCAGCAATCCTCCCATGTTCCCATGAGATTGCGCTCATATCTCTTTTTAGCTCCTCATCCTCCTTACTCTGACTCAGGATTTTACTACATGTAGAATCATAGGTTATGAAATATGAAGGAATTCCTTGTTTTATATCTTCCATTTTATAGATGCACATCGGAGTTTCATTCCTCTCAAAATGCTTTGATGTATTTTCATAGCATTCAAGATGAAATTCTAAGTCCCCATATGACATAAAAAGACCTTCGTGAGCTGGCATCTCCTATCACATATTCATCCATATGCTTTACTATAGTCATATTCATTTTTCTGAAACTGCAATCTTAGGGCTTTCAGCCTGCTGTGATTTTTGAATTGTCATTCATTGACTATCCGTCTTCTCTGGGTTTATATTCTTTGTAAATGTAGTAACTGTATTAACTAGTGTATGGAAGTAAATTGCATGAGGCCAAGAACATAGCACTGATGTAAGCCATTAGAGTTCTCTCCAAGTTGATTTAAACAACCATGGTATAACTGGTGGTTCTCCAACGTTATCATGCACTAGAATCACCCAGAGGGCTTGTTAAAACAGGTTGCTGACCTCATTTCT